GTCTCCCCATTCATATGACATGCATATATCATATAACTCATTATAGCATCATTAACTCGTCAAAGATGCACAGCAACTTGCAAATTTATTAGAAATAATTAGACTTGACCAGATTTACCGTTTGTCGGCATAACCAGTCTCAACACTTCAAAGGAGGTACATCTTCTTGTGAGTTTTCTTATGCGTACGAGCGACTTTTTTTTGCAGCGAGTATTCTTTTCTTGAATGGAAGAAGCATGTCCGTGTCAGAAATAGGACCAGCTTCTGAAAAAAAAACATTTTTTACCTTAAATTCGAGAAAAAGAGGACCTATCAAGAACAACTTTACCTTTCTGATAAGAGCTCACGTAATTATGAAGGGCAGTATTTGGGTGGAGATAGTCGTGCTGCAATCATCACTTTTTATATTCCCTTGTCAATTTTGTGAAATGGGGAGAAGAAAAATTTAGGTAAACTCAATGTATGGATACAATGGAGGAGCAGAAGCCACTATTGGAACTGCGGCAGATATGACTGGAATGGATGCGGCTACAATGGGAGCAGGAGCAGCTACAGAAGGTGCCTCTGAAAATAAAACCTTGCATAAAAACATTAACTCACAGTAGTAATTCTGATATTCTCCCACCACGAAAGTAAACGAAGATATTAAGATGACAGCATAAAGACTTAATAAGGATCTAATAGAAAAAAAGAGATAGTGGAACCAACCTCCAAAACCGTACATATGCCCAAAGCTAGCATCGGATCTGGAACATAAGCTTTAGAGACAACGAAATATGTTGTTGCTACGGTTTCCTAATAGAATTAGGAGCCCAGTAAAACTCAATGGACCTACTTTTGAGCCGAGACGACAATGGCTGCAAGCACAACGTAGAATGAACTCATAATGCAAACAATGATGGTATTGATCATTCAGATTCCTTCTCATTTATACCAATGTAGTTTCTAAAGAACTACAAAGAAACCTGAACAAGCTATTCATGACGAAAACATGGTATCAAAAGCTGATGAGCAAAAGGACTTTCTTTATTCCGAATCCTCCAGTAAAGGCGAATAAAAGGTGTTTGAGTGCCAAACACTTTCAGCGCTCGATTCGGAGAAATGAACTCATGCTTGATATAAATTATGATGAAAAGGTAAATAAGAAAATAAAACGCTAGAATATAAAGTGTCATTGAAAGCCAAAACGCATTGTAGATAATCTGCGACTAGGAATAAAATGTTAATATTTAAACTGAATGAAGTAGTTTCCGAATAAAGAACGCTATAGATTTGTAGGATTGATAAAAAAAAAAACGTCTTCATATACAAACTGTAATAGCACCGAACGTACAACAAATCTGACTAAACATGCAAAGAATTAGAAGAACAACTCAACAGAAAGTGTGCCGGTAGATAACTCTAGCTTATTATTAACTTTGCAAATTTCGTTATTGTGGCAGTAAATCGAGGTGAAAACCCAATTAAATGAGTCAAACAAGAA